AGCCCAGCACTCACAGGTCACCTGTCAGCCTCAGAATCCACATCCTGGAAGCAGGATCCCCTCGCCTCCTGTGACAGACTGACATTTGCCCAGGGGCTGGCATTAATGAGCACCTTCACCTGACTCCCACCCTTCTCTTGCCTCATTTTCCCTTACCTGGCTCTCTGCCTCCCCCACTCACACCCTGGACACAGCTGAGCCAAAAACCTTCTGAAAGCTGTTCTCTCGGCCTGAGCCAACTCTGCCCTCGCAGCTTGGGAGCCCGTGACCATGCAGCGTGACTCGCCCACAGGCCCCACTATTTCCACTTGAGTCATGTTCAGCCGCCTGCCTGGACCAGTGTCACGGAATGTGCCCGGTGGCCCCCCAACACCCCTGAGGCTCCCCTCGCTGCTTCAGAAGGACTGGGGTAGAATGGAGGTCCAACTAGACACCGCCTGGCTAAGCTTGGCATGGGCATCCCCTGCCCGTAACCCTGGCATTGCCACCCTGCATGCCCCGCCCAGCTGCGGCTAACCAAGGTGAGTCAGGAGTTGAGAAGTAACTCACACCCTGACCACCGGTTCCGGCTGTGGAAAGCGCTCCGGTGTTGAGGCACCTGGCAGAACACCTGCCTCTGGGGGAACTGGGATCTCTTTCTGGGATTGGGAAAACAGCAGCTATTAAATTCTACTGTGTCCACAGCAACAACAACAAACAACAACGGTAATACCCACCACTTTCACGGCACTGCCTGTGGGCCAGGCTGTGTTCTCAGAACCTGACATGCACCACTTCATTTCACCCTGGCAAAACCACTTGGAGGCAGGTACTGCTATCACCTCTGTTTACATGGGAGGAACCTGAGTTGCAGAGAGGCTAAGGAACTCCCCGAGGCCACACAGCGAGTAAGTAGCAGAGCTGGGATTTGAAACCAGGCCCGGAGTCTGGGATGCTCATTCAAAAATAGGGGTGAAGGATGGGGACTAGAGATGGAGAAGTGATCGGAGACCAGGCTGCTATCGCTCAGGCTGATGGTGTGGGAATAGAAAAACAGGAAAGAGGACGGGACAGCCGCAGGAGGAAGATATGAAGGAAGGAGTCCAGAGCCCGGGAATGACCCGCAGGGAGAGAGCTCACGAATGGCCGCCTGGGGGCAGAGCTGGCCCCCCCCCCCCCCCCAACTCCGTTAACCCTGCCGGCCCTGAGACAAAGTCAGACTTCCACCCTGGAGCCCTTGACTTCCAGGAGCCTGTTTTCTCACCCATAAAATAAACACAGCCGGGAAATTCATGAGGATTAAGTCTGATACAATTATTATAACAGCTAACAGCATGGAATCCTGGGTGGGACGCTGGATATTGACTCACCTAGCCTCTCACTTACCTTATGGAAGTTAAGTACTATTATTAGCTCAGTGTTACAGCTGAGGACACAGGCACAGAGAGGGTAGGGAACTGGCCCAATGTCACAGAGCAAGTGAGCAGTAGAGCCAGGAACTGAAAGGCAGAGTCCATGCTCTTAAACACTCAAGTTACATTACCTCGCAAAGAAGACAGCAGGCCAGCTGTGGTCCCCTCAGCCAGGCTCTCTCTATATTAATCACTTACTGCTCCCAACAACCTTATGGGACAAGCATGGTTATTATTATTCCTATTTTGCAAATGAAGAAATGAGGCTCAGAGAGGGGGAGTAATTTGCCCAAGACACACAGCAAGTGGACGTCAAGACTAGCTAGCAAGTCCCTGCCATCGGCTCCAGAGTCGGAGTCCTGACCACACACCCTGGGAGCTGAGCTCTCTCGTCAGACTCTCAGGAGGCCGGCTGCCCTCTGCATGGTCCACCATGGGAATTGCGGCATTTGGATTCAATAGGATGTAAAAAACACAATGAAAACAGCAGTACCCAGTCCTGGCATTTACCTGGGGCTCAGTACTTCCTGAGGCTCTTATATTCCAATTCTCGAAAGTCTTCCTGGCTCCTTTGTGAAGAGGCTGCACGGTGTCACCTCCCTGGTTTCACAAGAAGCGGGGGTGAGGAGGCGGGGTACGCCGCAAGCTAGCAGAGCTGACTCTAACCCTGACCACTGACTGAGTCCTGGACCACTGACCCCACACTCTCTTTCTCTCTTTCCTTTTTTACCTGATTACAATAGTAATATAGGCTCATTATAAAATATGCAAATACAAGAAAAAAATATGCCCCATAACCTTACACCCCCTCTCCCCCAAAAATATGCAAATACAAGAAAAAATATGCCCCATAACCTTACACCCCCTCTCCCCCCATTCCAGAATAACCTTGGGAACGTTTCGGTATATCTCATCGGTTTTCTGCTGCACCAACCTCCCCAGATTTGTAGAATCACAGAGTCTAGCTGGAAGACAGTGGCCTTGTCCGGTCTCCAGCAGGGTGGCCCTGCCCCAACTCCTCCTGATTGACATGGCGTCTCCCGCTCCCTGGGAGATGTGAGCCCCGCCTGTTCCCCGTGCTCCCTGGGACCCCACATTGCTCCCTGTTTTCCTGGTTCCTATCAGGAAATGTTTGTGACGTTGATAAATCACAGGCAACCCCTCCTCCCAAAGCTTATTTCAGTTAATGAAACCTAAGCAGTTTTAGAGCCCGACTGTTCAGGGAGCTGCTGCAGTAGAAGAAACATTTTCTTATCTTTCCCCAACTGTTCTTGCTTTTTTTTTTTTTTTTTTTTTTTTTTTTGCTGTCACTATTGCCTGAAATTCTACCACTAGAGCTCCTTGGATGTGTATTTCAGCATTATGCTGGTTCAAAATGAAACACAACCAACACCCCCAGGGAGGGTGGTACACTCAGCATGGGACAGCATGGAAGGTGGGACAGCATGGAAGGACAGATTGGTCCACGTATTAATGGCTGAGTAACCCTGGGAAAATTACTTAGCCTTTCTGAGCCTTAGTTTTCTCACCTATAAAATGCCTCCTTTGGTGAATTTTTATAATTAAATGAGTGCACGGCCCATAACTATTGGTTCCCTTCCAGGCCCTAAAATGACACTTGGCTCTGTATGGGATGGATACGGGGGAATCCTGGGACTGTTTGGGGCAGAAGGAGGGGCTGAGAACTTGGAGGGGAAGGTCATGAAAGGATGGGGAGCACAAGGAGCGAGTGTGGACGTGTGTAAAAGAAAACAGAGCTGGGGAACCTCCGCCCTGGGAGGGAGGGACCCTTCAAGACCATCTCATCTGCCCCCATCATAGTACAGCTGGGGAAACTGAGGCCCAGAGAGGAAGGGAAGTGCCTGAAGTCCCCTAGCCAACTATCAGGGATTTTCAGAATCCACAAAGCAGATTCTCAGAACTGGAGTCAACCAAGGAAGGGGCCAGCAGACTACACTCCCCAACAGCTGCCCTAAAGAGAAAGCTCCACAGTGACCCATCAGCACCTCCCTCTCCCCACACATTCCCCCAAGCACCAGGCCAGTGGATCCAGTCTCTCTCTAATGCCTGGGCAGGGCTCACCCCGCTCTGAAAGGGGCCATAGCATACCAGAGCCAGACCCACCTGCCTGGGGATGTACATCCAGTGCACAGGAGGAGAGCAGCAGCGCCGGGTCCTTCCTCAGGGAAGCGCAGAGGGAGTGTTCCTCTTCCCAAGCTCTTCCCCTCTCTGGGCAACATCCTTTATACATCCTCCTTTACACATCCTGAGCCCCACCTCACCACACAGCCACGAACTGTTCTCACTGAAAACAAGTCAAGCTCAGATGACGGGCCACCACCCTCCCCCAGGAAGGAGTATCCACCC